AACCCGCCACCTTAGGTGTATGTGGCTGGCGCCTTAGCCGCTTGAGCCACAGGCGCTGAGCCAAAATTATCTTTTTTAAAGTGGGAAAGAATGACTTTATTTTGTAGACTCTTTTGAAAGATTTATTAGTGCCTTCAAACCACATAGTTATCAAATTATCCCTTCATTTTACTACTGTCTGCGCTTCTAAAGAGGCTTGCCTTATAGCTTTTGGCATCTGATAATGTAGCTTCTTAAAAAAAACTGAGATGGCTTGGTTCTATAAAAGTGACTTGGCAAGTAAGAAAAGGCTGAAAATTCAAATATTTAATAAAGAATAATGTATGAAAAGACATTGTTTTATTTCACTTCATTTTATTATTTGTTTTAATTTTCAGATGCCAAAACAATCATCTTTGGTGTAGAATTTGTAGCTTTTCTCTAAAAGCCAAGCAGCAGTTCTGCCAGCAGGGGGAGCATGGAGTCTTTTGAAACTGGGCCAACTTGGTACTGCATGATTTCAGGGCTTAAATGTTTTCCTAAAATGTGGTCAAACCTGTCTTGCTGGACAAAATGCTGACATGCCACACAGTCGTTCCAAGCATGTGAGGGTTTTTTCCCTACAACATATGGTGAAGTTTTCCAAATTAAGTGGTGTTTCTGTATTTGAAAATGGGGAAAAGTCATTGAGGAGAAAAAAAGGATAAAGAAAATAATGAGGTAGCTAATGTTCAACAACTTGAGACGACAGGGGGATTTGAAGGCCAATTAAGTCAAAAGACAAAGAAACAGAGAATGATGGTGGCAGTTGTAGACTGCATCCTGGGAATACCCATCCACTAAACATGGTATTTTCTTCAAAGCCAGACGAAGGTCATTAGAGGTCACCAGCCCTGGAAAGGCTCTTCCTTCCCAAAGGCCAATGTAGAATTTAAAATCTAAACAGAATATATATAACACTTCAATGAGCTATCCACTTATGATCTGGGCACTTTACAGTGTACAATAAAAGGCAAATAAAATATAAATGTCACCTATATATGCTGAAATTAAAATAAATTTTTCATTAGTGTCCTTCTAATGCTAGATTTAGTCTCCTAAGAAAAAACAAAGTTAGAACATAATATTATAAGTCAATTTAATCACCATGTTCTTAACTTACTTAGAGACCGCAATAGCTTTAACTTGTATTTTTCCATCAGGTAGAGTAATAGGTTTTATATACTTAAATGTATTATTTTCACCATAACCAATTTTCTTTAGAAATTCAGGTTTGCTGCCATCCAAGGTATAATATATGCTGACATCTGGGGTGTCTGAAAAATAATTGGATTATTAAAATTAATAATATAATTGGATAACTATAATTAACACTAAAGTAGCAAGTACTTGAATAATGCCTATAAGTCAATTATTTAAGGATATTTTATGAGACTATTATACATATTGTAGAAGTAAACAGTAATAACTACCATCTGTGTTACACCAATGAGCTCATTTCATCTGTACCACCCCATGTGATAGAACCTGCTTTATACCCATTTTACAGACGAGGTAACTGATTTCCAGAGAGATTAAGAAACCTGCTACATAATAGAGGAATAGTGGTTTGATTACTGCCAAATTTGATCTAGAGCCACTTGCTCTTTTTTTTTTTTTT